CCCCAAAACCCCAAAACCCCAAAACCCCAAAACCCCAAAACCCCAAAGTCTTAGAATTATTTTGAAGTCTTGGCTATGCTAAATATCTAGACTCATAATGTGGGAATGAATGAACCCAATGGCATCTTTGTAGTCCATTTCTGGGTCAATCTCGATGATCTGGTTCTGTTCTTTCATCTTCTTGATGCTCTTTTTCTTAAATAGCTTCATGTTAGACTGATTCGTTCGCTTATCGCTGATGCTATAATATTCCAGATCTGGCGGAGTTAATACTTACTTCTTCATCTTGTCAGTATTCGGTGTACAAATATGCCTGTTATTTCTGCGGAATTTTGAATGGCTCCTTGACTCTATTGTTCTTCTTACCCTGAGTAATATTAGGCGCTTTAGGGACAGTGAGCTTCTTCTTCCAGTTCTTGCCAGATCCACAGGTATTTTCATCCTCTAATTTATTTATTTTCCCTCTCAATTCTGGCAGAGTACATCCGGCTGAGGAACTTGTCGATGGAGGAGATGTTCACTTTCCCATCTATCTTCTGTGATCCCTTCATGTAATCATTAGGATGGGAGGTCAAGTTCGGTTTGAAAGTACAACCTGTGAGTTCATTATCCTTGTTTTTATTCTTGATTTCTTCAATCCTTTTCCTTCTGTTTTGTTCCCACAGAACTGTTCTGTGCTCTACTGGGTATTGCCGGTAGTAGTCTAGTTTAGTATACTGGTCATCAATTGTTGTCTCATCTACAGTATTGTTAGAGTCTCTGTCATTTTGTTTAACGGTAAAATTCTTCGCAATAAATGGGACTTTTAATATCCCTGGTAGAGATTATAATAGGTATCAAGATTGAGCTCATTGAACGAGGTTTAGAATCTGAGAGTTAGCCTTTCTTAAAATCAAATTTTACCAGAACCTTTAATGTTAGAAAAATACGGTTATAGTATAGTCTAATAACAAAGAAGAGGGGTCTTACTGTGGCTAAACTTTGAGAAATCCTGAAGCTCATGTGTTGGCGGATACTCTCCACTGTTCATTAACATTTCGTTGCTGAGATCAGCTTGAGCAAGCATTTCAGGGGTTGCTTGGGCATGCTGGGTTTTGATCTATAAACCAATCAGTAAAGGTTATTAAATCAAGCATAATCCTCTGGGAATTAAATTGATAGCTAATTATTTATCAGCAATTTTCGATGAGTTAAATCTGATGAAAATACTCTCATTTTAAACTAATTATCTGCGAGTTTTTGCGTTCTCATACATTAACTTTAGGCTGGCCTCCAATCATATCAATCTGATCTTGTTCTTCATCAAAAGAACCATCCATTGGTGATTTCTCATGAGGGTTAAAAGTTTGTCTATGGTTATCCATTTTAACGTAAATTATTTAACAAATGGCAGTTATAAGGGGTTTTGGGGTTTTGGGGTTTTGGGGTTTTGGGGTTTTGGGG